TCCGCGGTGGGCAGAGCATAGATAGCCCATTGTGTAGCTATGTAATTGATAACAAACAGCTGTTTCGTGCAACCGAAAAAAAAAAAACACGGAAATTTTGTTTTGTTTTTGAAGTTAAGCACAAATCTACACAATGGGCTATCTAAACCCGGTTTCTAGCGTTGTAAGTCCACAGACATACCACTCTGCCACTTGATAAATGTTTTTTTAGTGCATATACGTATAAGTGTTGTTGTTCTACATTAGACTGCCATTCATTTTACATATATATATGTGTGCGTCAGAACATCGTCAACAAATGTCACCAGAAAACATAACAGGGAGATAAAAAGAGGTAAATTTTGATTGTTGTTGACATTTCGCGCAATGCTACTCGAGGGTTATTTGCACTAGCTATCCCTATAAATTTGATATGATAGATTAAAGGAAAGGCTAGTCAATAACACCTACATCCAACTCAAGGATTACTCTTGTAAGACCAATAGGATTCGATCGTCACTCTTATATTGCACCCCCAAAATGCAGAAGGAGATGTTTTTGAGTGGTGAGACTTGAACAGCATAACCCCAGCTCCAAAGTTGGGTACGCTAACCATTGCCCCTCGCTCGACCCGAAAGTGGAAAAAGAGGTAATAATGTGAGACGTATTGTGTGCATATAATATTTTAAGTTATCTGTTATGCACATCGCTATAAGTCTACTCCTGAAACGATCTTTGCTGGCAAATGTTTGAAACTTTGGGCTATCTGCAGTTTCCACCGTGGAGAATCGAACCCCGGATTCTAGCGTTGTAATTCCCTAAACGTACAGCTGCTTCATCGTGGGACTCTAATCTAACAGGATGAAAGAACTGTGTCTCTAATAGTAGATAGTGTGAATACGGTTACGTCTCTGTTAGTTAGTTAATTTTCCGTAACTTCGTTCCGACGAAACTTTAGCGACACAAGTCCGTTCTTAAATAAAACTGGTTTATTCTTTCTGAATATAACTTTGCGATACACTTAATTTCAACAGTCGCGCTATAATTCTCAACGAACTTCTCACGTGCTTAACAATATGCTATCTGACTGCAGTTCAATTACTCATTACACTGTTCCCGTCACGTCGTGTACGTCTTATATATACAAGACTATTACATATCTAGTAAATGCTAGGGCATTCTTGAAGGAACAGGATATTTGTAGAAAGGGGTGGCGTGATACTAGTCACGTGACCTCGCTGACGCAACAATACTTTAGTCTCAGTGTTGTTTTTTTATGTTCACTTTAGTTTAGTTCCAAAAACATTAGCAAAGACGATAAAGTAAATCTTGAGGCGAGTATCAGCTGTTAAACCATATGACGAAGACATTAAGTCTGAACTATTCTATACGCACTTTTTATGTTGATTACGATTGTTCATTAATTGCTGTGAATAAGCTAGTAGTTGCCTTGGCATAACTAATTAATACCTGCTGAATGGTTGGTAAAATTATTGTCGTCAACAGATCTGAAACAGTTAGAACAATATAAATTGTATTTATGAGATACCACGTCGTAAGAATATGTGGGTCGACACCGCTTGGGTTGTTAAGTGTAACGCTGCGATTACGTAATTATTCAACTTCCAGGTCCAAACGTAAGCTGTCTTTCTACAGGTTTCCGCTGTGGACTAAGAGGAAGATGTCTGTTGATAACCAACTAGAACTACCTGAGGGCGTTGTCATAACAACCGGTTTTGCACGATACACACCCACTTATAAAGTGATAAATAAGAAGTATTTAAGCATATACACTTGTGATCTTAATCTAAATATCATTGCTCCTGTTTTGTTTTTTTTACGTTATTTTGACAAGAGACTTTGAATATTTGACGATATTTGAATATTTGTGGATATCAAAATTAAGGTTTAATTTAATTGTCACCTTGTAGAATCAGCCTTTCAAGAAATTTATGAGACACTATTATTCACATTCACTTTGTATATATATATACATGTATTAGGTTTTTCAGAAATACATCTTTTTTTTTTGCCTTAGCTGGACATCCAACTAGAAAATGTACACATTACACGTGTATATGAGATTTTTACGTGTATAGTGATGGTTATAAGAAATGATCATTCCTCTAATAGTTCAGGCGGATTAGGGACGTACTGTATGAACAAGAGGCCTCTGTATATATGTTTTTTTAAAAAAACAAATGCTAAAAATTCAAGCCATATCTCCAAAGACTTAGAAAAAACTGTTCTGCGGAAGACTTGGTGACCCGATGGCAGTATACTTCATATCATATACTATATACCAGGTATTGGTATTTGAATCTATCATATACCAGATATTTGGTTTCATGTTTCACTGACTTTATGGGCAGATACTAACTTTACTGTATAGAAGTTGTTATATAAAATAAACAGTGGGGGAGAGGTTGTGGCTTTAATGTATGGTCAAATCCCAGACGAGGATAACCCCACCTTTCACGAATCTGGTGAAAAATGTTCTAAACTGGAGAAACAAATAGATTATAATTTTCTTATTCGTGTGTTTTCTACTCATCAAAACAGTCTCTATCTTTCAACTTTTAGCTTCGAGATGCTGCAATCTCATATTGTGCACTAATTTATCCAATACCAAAGCTTCCGTCGTCAGCAGAAATATGTAGAGCCCTCCCCCTCTCCCTGCAGAAAAAAGTTTTTGGAAGCAGTTTTTACTTCTTTACAAACTCCTGCTGTTAACAGAAATGTTATCTTTCTGTCAATTTTTGGTAAGTGGAAAATGCGAACACTGTGACTACAACCAAGCCTCGGGGACGCGAGAGTTTAACTCATATTTTTATCCACCTTATTGGTGATTAACCAGGTACTTATGGAGGTGGAGAGTTGTGGGTCTTACCTAATACCAATTCTACCCATCTTTGAAATTAACATAATCCAAAAGGAGCTAGCCTTCGGTAGTGGCAGCCGGACCATTTCAATCACAGTGACTGCAAGCAGCGTTAGGATGTACTAAATCCGGTTGACGAATGGCTGTGAGTACAAGGATATACTGTCATGAAGCGGTTTGTGTTACAAGCCTGCAAGTTGTTTGTTCTGCATGCTCGAGTTAAATCAAGTAACTAAGTAATCAAGTATTATTTTCACATAATTCAGGTAGTGATATTATCTTTCAACTTGTCAGTTTCATTGTAAGTTATGGATGTGTTGACAAAGGAGGGTTCTATTCAGATATTTAAAACGCTATAATCCGCATTTCGATATCCTTGGTGGGCAGAGCACAGATAACCTTTTGTGTAGCTTTGTGCTTAACTACAAACAAACTTTTCAGACTTGTTAAATACTATATATAGAAATGTGCAAAGTAAACAAGAAATATCACGTTCAAAATTAAAATTATCTGTTGAGGATGTCGACAAACTTAAACACTATATAAAAATATGTAAACATAATAAATAATATGTAACGTATGTATTGTATAAACATATATGATGCAAAACGAAGTAAAAAGTATTAAAAGTTAAGAATTATACGTAAAGCAAACAGAAATAAGAGTACACTTGACATTGGTATTGTATTTATATTGGATACTTTGCTTATATATTTATATCGAAATTGATAAGGTCACCATAAGCTGTTATGATTGTTGTGAGTATACGTCACCCAACAATTAAAATACAGTAAACTAAGAATTATTTAATTTCTGTAGTGCATATTGTTGTATAAAGACATATTAATACTCGAAATAAACGACTTTATAAAACCAAAATGTTGTTTATATTTAATTAGACACTCAACGTTTCGTTTTATAGCTTCTTCAGGAGTGTTCACAAAAACACAAACCGAAACTGACAGTACAAAGCCTCAACTGGGTTAAATAATAAATTTAAGTAGTATAGATTTATACTAGATTGGGCTGAATTTTGAATTTTAAGATATGCCATCTCTTCTTTTGGGATCTATTACTGTAAACAAAGCCCGTTGTTCTGCTCGAAAATGAGAAATTTAAAATTAAATTAATCACGTGTTTAAATTTTATGATGCTCTTCTCCTGCGATATATAAAATCTGAAGAATCTCTCATTACTTCTTTCAGTGGATTCAGTGCTTTGTCTGGTACTGTCTATGGTTTATTTATTTATTAATGTAGTGATTTAACAGATCCAGAAGAAATCCAAGTGTATCAATGGGCTTGCCATGGCCAGGCGGTTGGGGTACTCGACTCGCAATCTGTGAGTCGCGGGTTCGAATCCCCGTTCCACCAAACATGCTCGCCCTTTCAGCCGTGGGGGCGTTATAAAGTGACGGTCAATCCCTCTAGTCTTACACTTAGGGACGGCTAGCGCAGATAGCCCTCGTGTAGCTTTGCGCGAAATTCAAAACAAACAAACAGTTTTATAACGCGCCGCGCCCACGACTGAAAAAGTGGAGCGTGTTCATGAGCATCGCGTTTCTAGTCTTGGATCCTACGATCCGTGGCCGTACTCAAACAATTTGGCCACTCCAATTCCTGATTGTGTTGTTTACTTTCACTTAAATAAACGCACGTGGACGACATAGAAATATGGGGAGAGGCAACCACACTGCACCAGATACAAATTTTATAGCTTGTTGACTTTAATAATAATCAACTGATTTATTTTTGTAACAGCAAAAATAGCATTACTGATCATCTTTGAAATGATAATACATCACACGTACTTTTACTGTTTAGTCTAACAGAATAAACATTAAAGAATCAATTGTGCTCATTAAATAGAAACAGAAACCACTAGTTTACCCTCGTTACATTATTGCAAACAACATTTCGATATGACAAGGCTTTGTGCAACTACTCGTGTTTCGTAAAAACTTTTATTTGACCTAGATCCGAACTTCGAGATAGTGTTTTATAAACCAATCGCGATGACGGAAAATGAGTAGTAAGTGCGAGCAAGCCGTTGATGATTGGCTGAATAAATTAACCTACCTTTATGATATAAGTAGTTACTGTTATGTTACAATGACTCTGAGTAAGATGCTTGTTGGTCAACTTTAACGTTTGCGCAGCTTTGAGCATCGGAGATGATTATTTATTTGAGGTAAAAATGTGTCTGAGTAAGTTTAATGTTGTTTAAAACGACACTTTTAATGATTTACATGTGAGAAAATGTTGGAATTTTGAAGATGGAAAATTTTGAATCTTTCCAAGAAAACGAAAATATGAAAGCTTATTCATCTGGTCGAGAAAACTGTGTAAATGAAACAGGTAAGAAATTCATTTCATTTTATTATAAGTCTACCACTACAGAAAGTATTAATGTACTTATGGTTGACTATAGGTTACTACAACTTAAACTCGTTTGAACGTAATTTATAAACTGTTGAATAATGTAATGTAGCAATGTTTTGAATATAGGTGCTGTCATCTAGCGACAGTTTCAAACATTTCAATCAAGCTAAACAAACTTAATAACAGTTGTCTCACGTAAGACTACACTGAGTCATTACATAGGTTAAATAACATTTAATTGTTTGAAAGTGTCATTAACAGTTCCTAGGCTTATAACTCTAAAAATTGGGTTTCGATTCCAGCGGTGGACAGAGTACAGATAGCTTTTTATGTAGCTTTTCACTTAACAGCAAACAAATCCGTGCTCAAGATATTTTTATCATGATTATTTTCAACAGGCTGGGAACAAGTAGGCACACTGTTAGAAAATTAAAACGAATTTTAATGTATAAAACTAAAGAAAAAGCATTTATTACGTATAGTAGTTGCCCTGTTCAGGGGAGAAGGTCAAAACTTCGGAATAAACCCAGTATTGATATTCTGGTTTTAATCCAATTTAAGTGTTATGATAAAATGAACGACAGTCGCTATAAAATTATTATTTTGCAATATACGATAGGTGTTTTGATATTCAAATAGACATTATTATATTAAACCTAACTTCTTTCGGCTTGTTTACCATTTTAGTATAGCCTACTAGTGAACAGTGACATTTGCGTAGTGAAAATCGAACCATGCTTGTATTGCTTGTTTGATTCGCAACCAGTGCTATCACAGTTCGATAAATTTAATGACATGTATTTAATTTAACACAACCGTATTATACCATAGTTTAGCTTGTGAATAGCAGTTTTATTATTATAAGCAAGCATTTCACTCTGTTTTTACAATTCCAGGAGAAAAACTTTAACTTGTTGTCACGCATTATCCAATAACTTGCACACCCAGATTGCATTAACTGTGTACTATTATGTTTCTAATTTCATATCATCCTTTTTTAGATTGTGCGATTACTTGAACATACCCCCTCCCTCCAGTGGTTCAGCGGCACTTCTGAAGGTTTATAACACTAAACATCAGATTTTGATAACCGCGGTGGCCACAGCACAGATAGTCCTTTGTGTATCTTTTCGCTTAACAACAAATAAATACTTAAATATTGTTGTAACCTTCTTTTATGTTTTAAATGTGAATCTTACAAGAGACGTGATGTTTTTATATAAAATATAATAAACAACGCTAAAAGAGGTCTAGTTTTAGGAATGAGTTCTGTTCCATATCGAGACACACTGATCAGGACGCTAGGAGTAGCTTGTTTGTAGTTAAGCACATAGCTACACAATGAACAAGCCGTGGTCTGCCCATCACGGGTATTGAAACCAGGTTTCTAGCGTTATAAGTCGGCGGTCTTATCGCCATGCCACTGGGGGGACCGCTACGAGTAGAATCACAAAGTATTGAAATTTGTGCGTAAACACCAGTTTCCATGTGTTAACTTTTCTTGTTTGGGGTCGCATTCCGCCGAAGTAGTTTCCAGATATGTCTGGTCTGGGTTGGTATTTTGATTTTTGTCGACCTGAGAGGGTCAGGTCCAATCTAGACCTCTTCCTCCCTCCTTTACTATTTCTTTTATTTACAAATGCTATACGAGCATTCAAGAAATCAGAGCACAAACACCGAGATTTAAACGCTGATTTTAACTTCCCCTTCGGGTCCATGTCCAATGAATGTAACACTTAGCATTTAGTGCTATTCACCACTCACTTAGTTTGATTGCGTCATAGTCCACAAACAGTTCACTGGCGAACGTCACTTGTGATATCCAAAATCCAGGTGAATGTAAGATTTATTGTTAAGATACCCCGGGTATATGTTAGTATTTTAAACTATGAGTATGTTTAGGAGCTGTTGTAATATATATATATATATATATATGGGATTATATATGTGAAATGGTTTTTTGCAATGGTAAGTAATAAATTAAAACTGTCTTGGCGATTTTAGTATTCCGAGATAAATACAAAAATAGTGTTTTAGCAGTCTCTAATATAGGGTTGTTTTATCTATCTGTATGTAAGTTGATAAATATTTTAGAAATGTGTGGGTTACTGGTATCTATTTTTGCGTTTGGTTGTATTTTTGTAGTTCCTTTCTCTTGTGGTTGTGTTAGTGACTGTGTTTGCTTGTTTGAGTGGTTTATTTCCTTAAGTGGTTGTGTTTTTACTGCTACTGTCTGTATGTATGTTGATATTGACTGTATTGTTGGTGTGGGTAGTAATGGAATTTTCGGCACTGGGTGTTCTGTCTGTTGTATGTTTGTTTCTGTGTTGTGATTGTTATTTTGTATGTTATATATATTCATGTTTTGATGTCCTTATACATTTCACATCCTTTGCAGTTGGCGGTGTGCTGTTGCTTATAATTGCAACAGTGAGGTTTTCTTGTTCTGTAGGCCAATGCTTCTCAATCTTTTCGAATACTTTTCACCCATATAAGTTTTCACAACAGCTCATTCACCCCAGTTCGAAAAAAAAGACAAAAAGTACTAAACTAAAATGCAAAATTCTTTATTATGACTTAGATATACATCAAACTACAACTAGAATGAATATACATAAAATAAACAAAAAATAAATGTATTTATTAAACCACAACTAGAACAAATAATAATAATTAATGACTTTTTTACTCTTGAATTTGTTGTATAACTGATAATACTCATTCACCATGATTCTTATTTCATTGATCCCTGGGTAAACCATTCACCCAGTTGAGAAGCACTGCTCCAGGTCATTCTAAATTGTGATGTTCTCCACCACAGCCAATACACCGTTGACAATCGAAACACTGTGTAACGACAACAGCAGGTATTTTTAGGTGCTCTACTAAAAATCTCTGACACCAGAGATTAATACCAGTAGCTTTCCTGGATTTCATCTGTGTGTAGTTTGATCATGTTAGTGTATTTCTGTGTTTTGTTTAAGAAAATGGGTTCGTCTTTGGTGTGTGTATGATATTGTTTTATGTAAGTTCTTCTTGTATTTGTTCAATACTATTAACGCTGTAATGCACGCCTTTGATTACAGATGCTTTTGTGTTTGGCTTGTTTCCCGGTAGATGTACTGTAATTTGTCCAGGGTGGAAGGCATCCTGGGGCCACTGTTTAAGAAGGTTGTTTAATTAAATCAGTTAGCTCTGTCCCTTTGACTAAAACTTTGTCTTTAGCGAATCATGTAATTGCGGAAATTTGAACATTAGGTTTGCAGCGTTTTATTTCCGCTACCAAATTGTATCTCTTCCAAATATGCCTGTGTTATCTTGTCGACTTGGTTTTCCCGTCACTAACATATGTAAAAAAATCAAAAAAAAATCAATCAATCTTTTGGCTGTTCTCACAAGTCACACTGACTCCAATAAATGAAAAACTAACAATTGCTTTTATGCAATTGTGATAAATTAGATAGAGAGTCACAATTAAGGATTATATCTTATCGGCGTGCCGAACCTTTTCCGAATAGTATTCGCTGTTTAATACTAATTGATCCGCAACTTACAGGTCATACAAGCATTTTGAAAAAAAAAAAGAAGTTAAAATTGGAGGGAAAAACTATAATTTCTCTCACAGAATCCCTGAATAACTGTGCATATAAAGAACAGTCTAGTAATGAACGAAGATAAAAGTTTGAAACAACCTTTATCCATAAGAATGAAAGAGTCATTGTGATTAACCAATGAGCTATTTGGTTACTTTCGCATAGCTCCTGAAAATCCTGGAGCAGTGGGACTAGTCTGGCTAACTCGAATAATTCATCGTCCTCTATTTCACTACGATAGGAGAGAGGCAAAGTATAACGACTAAACTATTTGGGTTACAGTTTGGCGGCTTCCAGACCCATTCACTCAATCTAAAAATCACGGGTTAGCAGCTCCAAAGAACAATAGATTAGGCCTTGTTATGTACCTGAAAAGTGTATAAACTTTTATCAAACAAGTACGACAAATTAGGCTTTGTTACATACCTGAAAAGTGTACAAGCTTTTATTAAACAAGTACAATATATCAGGCCTTGTTATGTACCTGAAAAGTGTCTAAGCTTTTATTAAACTTAAACATAATCAAGCCTCAAGGGGACTTCTTCATTCATCCCTGAAATGCCCCGCAGTGGCACAGCTGTATGTCTGTGGACTTACAACGTTAGAAACCGGGTTTCGATATCCGTGGTGGGCAGAGCCCAGATAGCCCAATGTGTAGCTTTGTGCTTAATTACAAACATCCCTGAAATATTTTTCATGTTTTCAGTTCAAAAGTAAATCTTTCTCTAGAGAAGATAAAAAAAAAACTCAGTATTATTTGTAATTCACGACTTCATCTTTAATTTAAAGCAGCGACGGAGGGAACTGTAATGAAGATGTTAAAGCTTGCAGTTTTCGAATTGAATGAGGGCTTTCAAGAAATTGCGGGGAATAGAATGGTCGCATCCTAAAACTTAAGTAGAATTATTACGGTGTGAACACTTTTTCTAGGCTGGTGAAGCATAATTATAATTAACTATACTCAATTACTCGATCAATTAACTATGAAATTGTACAAGTAAGTTAATTTTTTTTACACCAGTTTTAGTACCATTAGCGAGGTATTTCCATTTGAACGTCATTTGTGAAATTACGTACAAGTTACAACAACTTACAACTACAAGTGGCGACAGCTTTTAGAAACGTTTAGGAGAGACATAAACACGTTTGTTATCATTATCTGGACTGGACTTGGTCTTATTTTTACCAAATAATTTAAAAGAACCAGCCCCACTTGGTAGGGGTCACGTGGCCGGACAAAATGCCCTTTAACTTCAAAGTTTTAACTTTTCTTTTTCCCCCCCCCCCCCCTCAGTCAAATTGTTGTGGCTTTCATTTTCCCTTCGTTGGTTTTTAAACTCTCGACATAAGGCAATCAAATCACGGAGACACTAGATGTATTTCCATATTCTCCTGACTCTGTAAGCATGATATTGTCACAAGTCAATCAGACTACTGAGAAAATGTCGGTACAAATTATAGGCATTGGTTATTATTGGCAGCGTGTCGAAAAAAAAAAGATGACTGTATATTATACTGATAGGCATAAGTGGATTGATTATTATCAATGGATTACGAAAAGGTGTTAATGATGACTGGGAAGGCTATCATGTTGTCTTTTTTTAGGCACGTGGATTGCCGTATTTTTGACTGGATTGTTTATCACTCGAAACAATTTTTAATTACGTCAGACATGAACCATAAAGCGGTATCATTTTAAATTATCTTTACTCGTTAATTTATAAATATATAATAGCATTTTAAGCATGTAATCAAATCAAACATATTGTTACGTCTCTGTTCGTTTGTTAATTTCCGGTATAAATTCTTTCCGAGGAACTTCAGCGATACAAGTCCTTTCTTAAATAAAACTAGTTTATTATTTCTCGATACTACTTTGCAATACACAGAATTTCCCACAGTTAATTTAACTTAACTTCCTTTATAAACACACACTATAATTAATTCACAGCGATTCACACACTTTACTTACGGTGCCTACTGTTCGCTTGACTCAATTACTTCTATCTGCCAGGCTTATATACTAAAAAAGGGGGCGTCCCGAACGCAGTAGAAAATTCACGATCATTCGAGAAACTTCTCGCACACGCCACCAGCGCCAATGCGCCAGAAGCGTCACGTGTTTTCCGCTGTCGTAACAATATATTGCTGTCCATAATAGTATTATTCATTCGCTCAGAATGTCTCTAGCAAATTGGTTAAGTGTAAAACCCTCAGAAAAATCTGAGTCCGATTCTGACCAGAAATGAAAACCCAATGTAAAATTAGAGAACAAAAGCCAAAAAAGTTTCACAAAGTTTTTGAGCAGAGTGACTTCAGTTGGTATATGTGCAATTACATGCAAATACGCACAAATACATATACAAGGTTTTAGCTAGGATGAATTGAGTGGTAGATGATAAAAATCAGTCTAACCCCTAGATGCACGCGTTTGCGGCTTCCGCCATTATACCCTTCCTCCATACCCACCTTCGGCCAGGCAAAAAAATAAAAGGTTGTTAATTTCATATTTATAATTTTAATAAGTTTGAAAATTTGTAAATACCTTCGGAAAGTCCGATAAAACACTCCACACGAGCAGTCACTAAGCGAACGTGTTATAAGGTGAACGACGAGGTGAAATAAAGCTGGAGACAAATATCACTCTAAGATGAGTTTTATTTTTCTGATTGATCCATCTTTAAGAACAGCTAATTGATACAAGTTAGTCACAATGAGATTAGATATCCGTAAAATTTTGAAAATATTTTTACACACCACATAAACTTTTACTGGAAAGAAAAAACGTTTTATGGTATCCACTGTAGATGATATTGTTTGACCTACCACACTAAGTACAAGTGAATTAGCGTGGCGTGGGCCATTTGTTCAGTTACCCGTTTAGGTTTTTGCCTGTGGACTTTTCTTGAAAAGTATTTAAGCGCGAAGATTATTTGCTTTGTGACTTTTCATGGAAAGTGTTTGTTTCTTGCGAAGTAAGCTGTACCGTGACAAAGAATTTTACATGCTTATAGTGAACTTATGTCTCAGTGTTTAGTGCCGAGCAGCAACAGTAGTCACATTGCACGGGAGTGCTGAGTGGGCAGAACGAGTGTTGGGCGGCCTTGCCTACTGCCGCTACAAGCCTGTATATATATATGTATATATATATATATATATATATATGCTCACGTTATGGAGATAATTAACCACTAACTAAATAACATATTTTTTAAGTGTTTTCATGTTGTGAATGCGTTTCATACCGAAATGCGAAGTGTCTCTATTTTTAAAATTTTCTCTCTACTGGCAACAGAAAGTCTGTCTTAATCCAGGGTCAACAAAATACAACGTTACAACAGTAAAAATCATAAATAATATTCAACGTTAAACTGGTACACAATTAAAAAACATTTTATTTAGGCCTCTCTATGATATTCAAAAAGTTGACGACTCCACATGTTTCTACGATACAACGTCATCCTCAGGAGCGAATTACAAGACAATTGCCAAATTATTTATAACTTGTTAGTAGGTTATTGACCTGTATGTTATTTTTCATACATTCACGCTAAACCATTCAAAGGAGATCAA